GCATACGGTATGTATTTTTATTACATACTAGAAAATTGTGCACCCCGTGCATCGCACGGGCTCTGTACTAATAAATGACCTTAAAATTGTGCACCCCGTGCATCACCCGTGCTCACATTTTGGCCTATTACAGGTCACGTACTATATATATCCCGTACATTTTTTTAATTCATTTATATAATTATAAAACTCGATAAATGATCTTAAAATTGTACACCCCGTGCATCGCACGGGCTCTGTACTAGTTAGAGTTCAAGCCCAACATTGTGTTTGAGTTGGCATTTTATTAGTGATGCTGCCTTTCTTATGTATACATAAATTTCGGTCCAAGCCCATTAGATGAGCATATTTGTGTTGAGTTGGCAGTTATTAGTGGTGTTGCATCTCTTAATTATATTTTGAATTTGATTAAACATATTTAATATTTCTTTAATCCCATTTTAGTAGGCCACAACTATATGAACATTTCGTTATCTGCATAAATTAAAGGAACTAATTCACTTAAAATCCATGTTGATATTGATTAACTCTTAAAAAACAATTAATGAAACCATAAAAAAAGTAAAATTGTAACATCGTATGAAATAAGAAGAATGTAAGGAAAATATGAGAACAAAATAGAGAAGAAAAATATGGAGCTAAAGTTATGAGATAATTTGATACAAGTTTTCAATTAATTAAAATATTTCTTGCCTATTTCACCAAGTATTATTATAATGATATTACTCCATTTAAATTCTTTTACAATTTCTTATATTTTTCTTCACAAATTCTTATTGTTAAAACAAACTTTACCTATTTTTTTATTCTCCAATCAAATTATATTGTTGTAAGATTAATAAGTATTTTTTTTAAATGTAAATTGATCAAGGTCATTAAAAAAAATCAATTATATTGGTGTTGTCAAACGGGAATTAACAACGGTCTAATTGGAGTAAATGTAGAGTATAACCCAATATTCAACGATAAGAACTTGCATAATGTAAAAGGAGATGGAATTTTTTGGTAAAGTCTTATTATTGTCTGTCTTCTTCTCTGGAGATTTATTTTTCTCCTTTTATATTTACGTACAACATTTATCCTACAGTAATCATTACATTTTGAAAGGTCAAAGGCGGCTCTTAGCTGCTTTTCTTGATAACTCGCCACTTGGACAAACGTAATGATGACCTATGCTGAGTTGTCGCCGCCTTACAATGCTGAGGTGGCATGTTATAGATATCGGTTCATCCAGTTATAACCGATATGTTGTGACCGACATGTGTTGACCGACATGTGTTTGACCGACATGTGTTGACCGACATGTGTTGACCGACATGTGTTGACCGACATGTGATATCGGTCAAATAATGGAGATGTCGGTTCTTGTTGAATCTTTCATCGTGCAGTCGTCTTGAAGTCGGTGGAAGCGTCACGTGCTTGCATGAATCTTAATTATCCTTATACTGACCCCAATCGGCGGACTAACGTCACTTAATTTGGCTTACTGAAAATGATATCAACAATTGGCTCGGAATAATTAGAAAATATAATAAAACAATAAAATAAGACAAAATTTTTAAGCCTAAGTTAACTTTTTCTATTTATTATTTTATTTTATTTTTCTTGAACAAGGTAAGGTAATCAGCCCAGGGTAAATAATTTTCCTGGCTACGCCCCTGTCCTCTTCCATTTAATGCTTGAAATGAAAAGGCATTTTAGCGGTCCCATCTCCTGCCAGCGGAATTGACTTCATTAGGAATGACCCAAAATGTTTGATATGGTTGCTTCCCAGGAGTATCGACGATCCCCTCTACACCTGAGGGCCTCCATGTTCTACGTGAAGTTTCATATGAAAATCAAACTGGCCCATTAAGACTAGGCCAAGCGAATATTAGTCCTATAAATTTGAGAGAAAATGGACCAGAAAGAAACACTGACGAGCTCTGTCGATCTCTCCGATCGACGAAGATAATCCCTTAAAAAATGTCGATCTCATCCTAAATCTTCCTCGAGAAGATTGACAGTTTCTCTCGTATGAATGTGGAACTATTAAAGCTGGTAAAGCGACCGCTCAAGTTGTTCCATCTCCAAAAGTCGAGGTTGCATGTAGACATGTTCACGAGCCGAAACGGCCGCCGAAACGGCCCGTGAACCGGTCCTGGCCCAGCCCGAACCGGCCTCCTAAGGGCCGGTTCGTTGAACGCGGACCTTAGGGTCGCGGTTCGGTCCCGATTCAAACCTCATTTTTCCCACTGGTCTGAGCCGGGGCGCGGGTCGAATGGCGGGCCACAGTGTTAATTTTTTTTCAGAGTCCCACCGGGTCGGTGAACCGGCGATTCAGGACCGGTTCATATAAATG